CAAGTCACTTCCTTTTTAATTCACACGTTACAACAAACCATTTATCTTGTACTTTGCACTGCAGGAGATTGCTAGTGATCTAGCAATCCATTTGATCATATCACTGTTCACAATTATCACATTCTGCTCCCCCCCCCAGCTTTGTTTTAATGATACATGGGGACTTAATTTTTATTGCTTGCAAACAAACAAACTCGATCCTACCACTTTCATGGGCATGTTTGGTGATGACATGGGAGAAAGCCTTTTTGGTGGTTGCTCCCAAGCTATGGAACTTTCTTCCCACAGCAAGCTAGGCTGCTCCCCCACTCTTCTCCTTCCACCAGCAGACAAATCCCTTTTTATTTAAGCAATAATTTTGCCTATTAACTGGGAGAAAAGTGAAATATACATTGAAGAAACAAATAGCTATAACAACAAACCATGCACAAGGCCTTAAACATTTAAGGCTTAAAGATGGACAATATTTGATTCAGGGACCTCAAGCAGTCCTTGGATACTTTATAAGCATCACCCTTCCCCCAGCATCCCTGCAGCAGAGTGGGCTACTACAGTCCAGACCACCAAATTCACACCATTGTTTGCCCTATCTTCTCTTTGGAAAGAGAAAGAGATGTTCCCCCTCTTTAGCACAGCAGGACACAATAGGGCTGGAGAGTAACAAAGCAGTTACATCCTCCCTATAATTGTCATCATTTAACAATCTGGATGTATCTCTTTGGATCACGTGAAAGTTCCAAAAATTCTTCAAAGATCGACTGACAAAGATAGCATATAATATAGTGAGCAATAGAGCAATTAAAACTGCTGCTAGAGCAAACAATAGAATAGGGTGTTATTTGCATACCCACAATGCTAAATTACAAAACTCCAGAAAGCATCTCTCAGAGTCTGTTTCACGTCTGTGTTGAATAATAATGAAACCCAACCCTATTATTTGGTAATGAAACAACCCTATTATTCAAATATATTGAGTAATGAAACTGTCCAGCATGGTGTAGTGGTTTGAGTATTGGATTATTACTCTGGGGATCAGGGTTCTATTCCCCACTCAGCCATGAAACCCACTGGGTGACCATGGGCAAGTCAGATACTCTCAGCATCAGAGGAAGGCAATGGCAAGCCTCTTCTGAACAAATCTTACCAAGAAATCCGTTAGGTCAGCATAGGTCAGAAACAATTTGAAGGGAAATAACGACAATAGTGAAACTGAACCATAAGGGACCATGCAGGTTAACAGCCAAGGAGTTAACCAGGAGTCCCCTAGGACCATCTTCTTGATGGAGGAATAGAGCCATTATAGAACAAAGTCTCCAAGTTCCAGCAAGTTGGACAAGAAGAATTTCATGAATGATGGTTTGGAAGTCACCAAGAGATCCAGCGGAATCCGCAGGGACCCATTCCTCCATACAGCTCTCTGCAAAGGTCATCCACTAAATTGACCAAAGTGCTCTCTGTTTCACAGCCAAATCTAAAGCAAGACTGAAGTGGACCCAGACAATCTGTCTCATCCACAAATACACAAAAAGTTGGGAAACCACCACATACTCCACTACCATGTCCCAAAACAGAGATCGGAAACTGGCCAGTAGTTATCCACTACAGAGGGATCCAGGGTTTTTTTCAAGCCTGGTCTTGTAATTGACTCTTTAGTCATGCAGGACCTCTGCCTTGTAGTAAGGCACTGACGGTTTCATCTACCCATCTACCCTTGGTAGGTCTTCTTCTGGCCTTTTTAATAAACCAGGACAGGCAAGGGTCTAACATATACATAGTGGCCTTCATGTCTTATTTCTCTTCTCCCTCATGTGCAAGATTTTCTAACTATGATAATCTGCAAACTACAATTTGCAGAAATCACATTTTGTCATATCTGGTCAGAACTATGAACTCTGATTTGTTTTCAAAGAAATAGCTAGGTTTGGCATCATTTGGTGTGGTAACTAATGGTGCCACCCTCCCATTGATCTCTTTCCATACCACACCATACAGAATCCTTAGTAATATTTTTGTACTAATATTACTCATTAATCATAATATATTGCTAAATGTAATAGTAATAGTTGTGACATAAACAATTAGGAAAATTAAAATTATACCTTTAAATTACACTATCATTGGCACAGGCTAAATACATTTTCATATACATAGTTTCATGTTGTTGAAGTGAAAATTTGGTAAAATGTGATTTTTTTAATTGTTTTTTTTTAATATATTTTTAAAAATTTAAAAACTGGGGCTTCCCCTTTCCCATCCCACTAAGATTCATCCCACTCACACCATCTCTTCAGCATTTTAAAGGGGCACAGGCAAATACCACAGCCTATTTCTGCCCAAAGACAGATGTTTGAGGATCAGTAGTGTCACCCCCCTTAGGGTGTCACATGGTGCAGTCGGAACCACTGCATCCCTCTAGTCATGTCACTGGAAATAGCCACATTAGTCTTTTGCAACATAAAAAGGAGGAAGGGAAGGGAAGAGAAGAGAAGGGAAGAAAAAAAAAGAACATGGCACAACTTTAAGACTAAGCTGGATTATTTCTGGCAGTCTGTACAGGCCCTAACTGGTTTGTATTTTAGCATGAACTTTCATGGACATGCATCCATGTCTTCAGATACAGTACAGAGTGACATTAAAGCCTCACATTTGCTTTCACACATGAACAGTAACTGACCACTGTAAAGATCTGGAAGACTTGTCTCACTTTACCCAGCCCTTTGACAGTTTAAACAAGGGACATGATTTGCATCTTTCTGGATCCTCTTACATTCCATCCCACTATTACAAAAAATAAAGTTAAAAATTCATCAGGAAGGGGGAAAAGAGGTGGTCTTGGCTTACCAGATTTATTGGTGTTTGACTTTGTCTGGATGAAGGAATGCATAACATTAAGAAATGATGGCATATTGCGTCCTAAGGGGTATGACATGAAGTTTGGCTAACACAGTTACATGTAGTAAAACAAATTGAAAGTTAATGGTGATTTCAACAATCGCTGTATAAGGCATGCCATATTGAAAATCTGGAACTTATGCAGAAAGAGTGCAAATTGAGTCCACTTTAACTGCCCTGACTCAGAAATATACATTGAAGGAGAAAAATAACATAAATCATAACTATATGTTGTGTCTTAATCAGGTCACTGAAAAGATAGTGGGATCAAGACCATTGGAATATTAGAGAATTATCACATCAAATGTGATGACACAGTACACATTGAGAGAAGAAAGGGTTAATTAAATGAACAGACTGAGCTGCATGTCCCTCAACCAAGTCTGCTTCTTCCAAGTATGGTAGAAGATGCTGCCTTCTATGTAATGTAATGTAATGAGGGACTCCATCTTGTCCTTTACCTTAGGTACCAACATGTCTTTGTTTGGTCCTGCTCATTTGGCTACAAGTGAACACACAAAGGAGGGTGATTAAGAGGCATAGGTATTTGCTTTGCCCCTGGCATTTATGTGTATACCTTGCACAAAGCTTATGAGTATACACTCCTATAAGCATGGAACATCCCTTGGCAAACAGCATAGATTATTCTTGCATACACAGTGGGCCCTTGGTATCTGTTGGGGTTTGGCTTCAGAACTTTCCATGGAGACTAAAATCCACGGTTGCGCCAGTACCATTAAATACAATGGTATAATGAAATGGTGTCCCTTATATAAAACGGCAAAATCAAGGCTTGCTGTTTTGAATATTTTCAAGATATGGATAGTTAAATCCATGGACAAAGAATACATGGATATGAAGGGCTGACTGGATACATGAATTCAAATATATGTATCCTCAATTTCTCGGAGACTGGAGCCAACACAAATGATTTCTCTCTGTATAGATATAACACTATGGAAGCAAACAGACTTCATCTCACATGAACTCAAAAGCCAATTTGTAGGATCATATTTGTTTACATATTTTCTTTATATCTCACCTGTCTCCCAGTATGGGATGCAAGGTGGCTTACAATATATATTAAAACTAAATATTGTTAAATTTTGGTTTTAATGATATTTGGTTTTAATTTATATTACGAGCCACCCTGCATCCCATACTGGAAGACAGATGAATACAATTAAAATGAGAGCCAGCATGATATAGTGGTTTAAGAGTTAGACTATGATTCTGGAGACCAGGGTTCAATTCCCCGCTTGGCAAAGAAACCCACAGCATGACCTTGGGCAAGTCATATGCTCTTAGTCTCAGGGGAAGGCAATGGCAAACTTCCTCTGAACAAATCCTGCCAAGAAACTCCCATGATAGGTTCGCCTTAGGGTTGCTTACCTAACCCTGGTGATGCAGTGGTTAAATGCCAGTACTACAGTCACTCACTCACAAACCACAAGGTTGTGAGTTCAATCCCAGCCAGGGGTTCCAGGCTTGACTCAGCTTTGCATCCTTCTGAGGGCACTGAAATGAGTACCCAGCTTGTTGGGACAATTAACTTACAGTTGTAAACCACTTAACAATAGCAATAGCAGATTCATTTATACAGTGCTTCACACCATGCTATGCAGTCTCTAAGCAGTTTACAATGTGTAAGCTAATTGCCTTCAACAAGCTGGGTACTCATTTTAGTGACCTTGGAAGGATGCAAGCCTGAGTTGAGCCTGAGCCCTGGTTGGGATTGAACTAGCAATCTTGTGAGTGAGTGGCTGCAGTACAGGCATTTAACCACTGCACTACCAGGGCTCATTACTTAGAGACTGCTTAGTGTGGTATGAAGTGGGATATAAATGAAGCTGCTATTGCTATTGCTATTGCTATTGCAAAATCAGAAATGACTTGAAGGCACACAGCAACAAACAGTCAAAGTAACACGTAAGTATACATGTTGAAAAGCCGTTAAACAAACAACCATGTTGCAAATATTAATCTAAAACAGTTAAAAAGTTGTTAGAAAGAATAATAATACTGATAAAAATACAGCACACCTGAGTTCAAAGGCCTTAGCAATGGCCAGTGAACTGTCAAAAAATAAATAAAAAGCAAAAAAAAAAAAAGTCTGAGGGAGGCAACCTAACTTCCTGTGGAAGGGAAATCTATAACCTCAGGGCACCCACTGAGAAAGCTTCTCCTCACCAGCCCCCCACCCCACCCTGATGGTGGTGGGACTGAGAGATAGCCTTCCTTTGAGGATCTGAAAACTCTGGCAGGCTCATATCAATCTGTCAGATTGCCTGGATACATGCCATTTATATCAAGTTTAAGTGGAATGCCTGCCAGACTTTTGAAGAAAGCAAAAAGGATCTTGACAAGAGTAGCTGTGTTTCTTGTTGAGGTGGGTATTTGGCCATTTCAAACAAGGAGCCAGAATGAGTTAAGTAATTATGGGCCTTTGCAGACTGCCAGAAATAGTGCAAATTTAGTCCACTTTAAGGGTTAGGGTTAGTGCTAGGGAATCATGGGAATTGGTTTTTTTCTGAGACATTGAGCTTTCTCTGTCAGAGAGCTCTGGTGCCACAATAAAACACAGTTCCCATGATTCCCTAACCCTTAAAGTGGACTCAATTTGTACTATTTCTAGCAGTCTGCAAAGGCCCTATATTAATATTTGTGAGCATCAGCTGAACTTAATTAAGTGCAGCAAAGTATTCAAAGAGGAATGGATACATTTAGGAATGTGTTGATGTAGTTGCTTATAATTTTGCAGGAATAACTCATGTTATATATTGGTCCCCAAGTGCCTATTTTTTACTTTGCTGCAAGAATACACTTGATGGAATCCATATGGAAAATGTTTGATAGGGTCATCCTTCTAGCACACACCTTCATATCCTAGAAAGGCAGTTTGATGAGATTCTCTCAGAGGGCGCCTGGAATCTGTGGCTGGCTGGTAGACAGAGGAAGTTGTTTAACAGTTGTTGAGCTGTTGGGTAGCCAGTGTACACAGATGCAGGTGCAACATCATCATCATCATTATCCAGAAAAAATAAACCCAGGGGAGTAGAGTTAGATGCTGTGTTTCTTGGTTAGTATTGTCATTCAATTGCTTTAACTAAAAATTCCAAAATAACTGACTTCTCCTACATGAAATGGAAATGACATTCTTAAGGGAGGGGGTGTGCCTAAATAACTAACCAAGCATACAATCATTAAGGGTATGGCTATGTGGTGATGCTATGAGGTAACGCAGGGATGCAGTGGCTCAAGTGGTTAAGGCGCTCACTCTACTGATTGCAAGATCAGCAGGTTGGCAGTTCAAGGCCCAGGTGCTGCATGATGGGGTGAGTTCCTGTCACTAGTCCCAGCTTCTACCAACCTAGCAGTTCGAAAGCATGCAAGTGCAAGTAAATAAATAGGTACTACTTCTCAGTGGGAAGGTAAAGAGCATTCTGTGCAATCATGCTGGCCATGATCATAGAGTAGTCTCTGACAATGCTGTCTCTTTGGCTTAGTAACAGAGGTGAGCACCATCCCCTACGGTCGGACACAACTTGTCAATGGGGAATACCTTTACCTTTACCCTTTATGTGGTGGTATCACTAAGGGCAAATAAAACCACCCCACTGCCTTCATTCTGAATTGGACAAATAGGGAATCCTCCTCCCTGGTGTCATGCCTCCATCTAGAGAGTTCATCTTCCTCAGAAGATAAAGTAGACATATCTTTGGAAGAGGTGCTGCAGATGCAATCAAGTCATCTTTCAGTACAGCAGGTAGGGTTGGATTCAGAGCAGGAAGAGGAGCTAGAGGAGAGGGGGGGGCCCCATTCTCAAAAAAGTCAGAGGTTAAGGTGTCTGGCTCAGACCATTCCCCATGGTAGCTGGAGTGAATGGCTACAATCAAGGCATTAGGAGGAGCACAGTTGTAGGCTGATTTCTCTATATGCTGCCTGGGATCAGGGCATTGGCTGAACAAGTTAACTATATAAGAAGATTATATTCTTTGGTGAGTATTGATGACATGGACAAGCTCCTTGGTAGAGTGAGGAAGACAACTTGTCCTCTTGACCCTTACCCTTTTTGGCTGGCCGTCCAGGGGAGAGATCTCTTGAGGATATTCCTAAGGGACATCATCAATGCATCCCTTATTTGAAGCGGTGGTTAGGCCACTTCTGAAAAAAAACTTCCCTTGACCCTCTGGACATGAACAGCTATAGGCCAGTCTCTTTGCTACCTGTTTTGGAGGAAAACAATTATCTGGATCCATTTCAAACTGGCTTTAGGACAGGATATGGAGTGGAGACTGCCATGGTTGCCTTAGCTGGTGACCTTCATCTGGGCATCGACAGGGGTAGTATGACTCTGTTGGTTACTGGACCTCTCAGTGGCCTTTGACATGATAGACCATGACAACCTCTTGGAATGCCTGAGAGAATTAGGAATCAGAGGCACTGTATTACAATGGTTCCATTCCTTCCTCTTAGGCAGATTCCAGAGGATGATGCTCAGGTACAGTTGCTCAGCTAAAAAGGAGCTTAATTGTGGCATACCTCAGGGATACCATCCTGTCCCCGATGGTATTTAACATATATATGAAGCCGCTGGGAGAGATCATCTAGAGACATGGGGGAGGGTATCAGTATGCTGATGACACCCAGATATATTCCTCCATGTCTCGGTCTACAGCCTTGATTTCAGATGGTGTCTCCCCTCTCAATGAATGTCTTAAAGTTGTAATGGACTGGATAAGGAAAAACAGATTGAAACTGAATCCAGACAAAATGGAGGTACTAACAGTAATGGCCCTGAACCCAGGTATTGGGACACAATCTCCAGTCCTAGATGGGGTCACACTCTCCTCAAAGGACTGTGTTCACAGTCTGTGGGTGCTCCTAGATCTGTCACTTCAGATTACAAATCAGGTGAATGCAGTGGTCAGCAGCACTTATCAGCTTCGGCTGATATGCAGCTGTGCCATTTCCTGGAGATTAGGGACCTTGAAACTGTGGTACATGCACTGGAAACTTCTCGTCTCGATTTATGCAATTCACTCTACATGGGGCTACCCTTGTGCCTAGTTCAGAAACTTCAATTGGTACAGAATATGGCAGCCAGGCTGGTCTCAGGTAAAACCAGAAGAGACTACATACCTATTCTAAGATCGCTTCACTGGCTTCCTATCAGTTTCTGGGTGCAGTACAAGGTGTTGGTCATCACCTTTAAAGTCTTAAATGGCTTGGATCCAACTATATTCAGGACCGCCTCCTTCCGTATAACCCACCCCATTCACTGAGGTCCTCTGGGAAGAATGTATTGCTACCTATAAAAACTAGATTATCTGTAACTGCCCAGAGGACCTATTTGGCTATTGCTCCCAGACTATGGAACGGCCTGCCAGATGAGATCTGTCACTTGACTACCTTAAACAGCTTTAAAAAAGCTGTTAAGACTGATCTCTTCCGGCAGGCCTTTCCTGAGTAGATAACCAGCCACTGAAAAAGTTATGCCTGACGCTCTTTTCTGCTACAGTTATTTCAATTTACTTGTCATTTTTTGTAACCTGTTATTTTTAAGTATGTTTTAAATTTTGATTGTTTAATTGTATTGTGGGGGTCTATTGGGGGACGGGATTGTTTGTTTTATCATGTAAGCCACCCTGGTTGTATTTTACAGAGAGGTGGGATACAATTTATTATTATTATTATTATTATTATTATTTTCTCCAACCAAGTCGCTGAATGCAATTTCAGTTCTATGGCTTGATAGCTCATCTCTTGCAAGTGTGCTTAATGGGTTTAAGACCCTTGAATTGTTTAATGACTCAGCTACTGCAATTCTTTGAAATTCTGTCTCTGATTTATGCCTTTTTAAACCCTGGATTGTTTTGATTCTGGACACCTGTTGCTTCTTTGGCTTCTGATTTTGGCAGGCTGAATTCCTGTCACTGCCTTCTACCTTGCCACATTGCATGCAAGAAATTTCATCACCCACTGGTGGTCAGCAGCAAGATATCTCCCTAATCTGGTTCTTTGTTGTGTGCCTCCAAGTCATTTCTGACTTGTAGTGACCCTATGGTGACCCTATTACAGGGTTTTTACTTGGCAGAATTGGTTCAGAGAGGGTTCAATCTAGTTGTAGTTGCACATTAATATGCCAGAGTACTTGGGGCAGAACCACAGAAAGTATGACTGTTTGGATGGACAATAATAAATATTAGAAGACCAGGATGATGACGATGACAATAGTAACAGGAAGAAAGATCACCATCACCAC